AGTCTCTGTGGGCTCAGGAAGGGGCAGGGGCTCCGGCCTCTCCTCTTTGGGGCTATAGCCACCTTTGACCAAGAGGTGGCCCCTGCCCACCCCAGCCACCAGGGACCCAAGGAGTCTGAGAGCTATTTGTCTCTGGCCGCTCATGGGAGACACCTTAGACTTGGATCCTGTTCAAAACCCACTTTTCCTACAGCAAGACTTGGGGTGGAAAGGGTCTGCTACTCCGTGGTCTTTCCTGTCTGCTACATGCCCTGCCCCTGTGTGGGAGTCATGGTTCCTGGGAGACAGCTCAGCCTTGAGCCTGAAGGAGCTGAGCTTCACTTTCATGGATCCCCATTCCAGTCCCAGAAAGCAAGATCTCCATGTGACAGATGAGGAAATGGAGGCTCAGGGAGGGGCAGGGACTTGCCCAAGGTCACCAGCAAGTCGAAGGGGTACCCAGAGTACCTCTGGGGAGGAAAAGCCCAGCTTGCCTTTGAAGAAAGGCTGTGGAGAGCTGATACTCCTTGGAAAGGGTCAGGTAGGGACCAGTAAGTTCTTGTGAACCTTCTCTTCTCTTCCAGGGTTGCGGGCAGGAAGAGAAGGAGCTCTGGGTTGGGCCTGAGGGCCTGGGTTCCAGTCCTGCCCCCCACTCCTTCCAGAGGTTCCCATGCCAGGGCAACAGGCAACCTTGCCAGTTCATGGGGACCTGGCCGGGCAGTTGTAGAATGGGATTGGGGTGAGGGGGAGGCTGGACTGAGTCCTGAACCCTACTGGTTTAGACAGCCAGCTGGAGTGCTGTTTTTGGCTGCAGAGATGAATTTTTGTAAAAATAACACTGTTCAAAGAACCTGAGCCTTACTGAGCCAAGAGGCACCCTCCATGTCATCTACACCAGTCCTGTGCCAAGACTTTAATTCGCCTACCACGTCTCCGGTCAGTGGGGACCGAACACCTCCACTGACAGGAAACTGCCCCCTCAGGGCACCATCCTCCACCAGCTTGGGCTTGGTGGAAGTTCTCCCACCAGCAGAGCTAAGTCTTTCTCCTTCTTTCCTACCTTCATTCATTTCTCTCTGCTTCCTCCCCTCTCTCTTTGCCTCTCTCTGCATCTACTGAGAACCACCTTTGTGCCAGAGGAGGATACAAAGACAAATTCATGGGACCCCTGCCTGCTAGTCACTTTCAGTCTCATAGAGGAACCAATTCACAATGACAGTCACAATACATGGAAGTGGGTATTGTGACAGATGCTGTGAAAGCACAAAGCCATCAGAGGGGGCTTCCTGGAGGAGGTGCTATCTGGGTTGATCCTCACAGGATGAGCTGTTAGGGGGAAGAGAAGGGAGTTTCCAGGTCTAGGGAGTAGCAGATGTAAAACATCCTGTTTATTCTAGAAGTGACAAATACAATTCCATCTGGGAGAGATGAGAGGTGAGAGATGAGAGATTCCATAATGGGAGACATGAGAGGTGGCCAACAAGGTCAGCAGGACCAGATCATGGAGGGTCTAGAATAACAGATGGAGGACTCTGGCTCTTACCTCATAGTCACTTCAAAAACTATCACCAGCCCCGATTCTGTTCTCAGTCACAAAGGATGCCCCCAAAGATTTAATCCCTGGGTGGAACTCTTCTCCTTCATTGTGCTTTAAATAGACTTGCCTTTTGGTAAAGGAAACTTTTACCTCCACTTTGGGATCTTTTGTGACAGTGGCACGGGGCTGGAGCCTGGGCCTTTAGGACAAGGGGCCTGAGATCCCAGGTTTGTCCATGTCAAGATGAGGTCAGGTGATAGAGGCCAGAATTCCATGTGAGGAAAATATGCTCTGGGTCTTTCATTGTAAGGGTAAATGTGCCCACAGGCGCACAGGGTTCCACTCATTATAGACTCCAGATCTTTGACCCTTGGGGTTGGAGTGTCCCTGGGCCGCCCTTTGCCACTCCCTGGCAGTCTGATTCTTACATATCCACTGTGGATGATGGGGTTCTTCCTGTCTTCACCTGGTTCTTGGTGCATCAGACCAGCCACCAGAGGATGACCAGAAGAAATGGCCTTGTGACCTGCTCCAGAGAGCTCCTGGCCATTCCATCATCATCCTTGAGAGATAGGGGACACCACTAGCATGCTGCCTACCCTGCCTACCCTCAATCTTCTGGATCTCAGGCCTTCATCTTTCCTGCTTGCTTCAAGGTTCCCAAGAAATACACACAAAGATCTCAGAGGAACAGGACATTTTATAGGCTAGGGGAATAGAACGTTCCAAAGGTGGCTGCTTATAGAATAGTAGTTCTGTGGCACAGGATGAGAGAATTCAAGTGCCCCAGCCATGCAGATTCCTGTTTATGAGCTCCAGGTCTCAGGTGACATAGTCATCAGGTTCAGTTTGGTGGCCTTGGGGACCCGTGAACTCTAACTCTGGATGTCTGACCCACATTAGCCCTGGCTCTCCTCTGGCACATGTCTACCTAATCTGTAGGCTACATTCACCTTTTTATAAACACATGACTGGTTGAGGGAGAATTTGAAATCTCCCTCTGGTCCAGTGGAAGGATCTGGAAAGATGAGGGCTGAATGGACCTGAAGTCAGGGGCCAGCAGAGCACCAGCTGGATGGGGCTGCCCTTCCCATCTTGATAGTGAGTTTCTGCAGACGAGGAAGGGTGGTTACAGTCAGCCCCAAGTGCTGTGAGCCGGGCCCTGCATGTGCTCTGTAATTACATGCTGCGTTAATTCACCTTTTTGGCCCTATTCCTGGCACAGATCTGGGCACAGTCAGGTGCCTGGACTGTTTCCCCAAATGCTTCATCTTTAATTAACCTCAAGCTCAATCTCCATCATCTCATGCCATTCTCTGCCCCAAACAGAGGGGAATCTGGCCTGTGTGTTTCTAATTCCTTTACACTTATCTCATCCCAATAGCGCTCTGCACGATCCGTTTGATGTCCAACTTCTGAGCCTGCTTTATAAGTCAGCTAAGCCCTTTCCTGCTCAGAAATAGGAAGTCACATTTTTTTTTTGCCAAGCATAAACTGACTCCAGTCCTGGCTGAGGTCAAGTTCAGTTTAGAACGTGGTGCCCATGGGGCTGGGATCGACTCTCTGAAGCAGAGATCCTAGCTCCTGCCAGGTCTCAGGCTCAAACTCGTCCGCTGGGACTGAGCTAGAAAGAATTCAGTTGCCTGCCAGGATGTCAGCAAAACCTCTGGCCATCCAACAAGTGGCCCCAAATTTTGCTGCCTCAGAACAGAGACAGATGCCAAACTGGGCCCGATGGCACTGGGGTCAATCAGATACCTCCAAGTCTGCCAGGAAACCTATGTATAGAGAAGCTGGGCAGCATGGGGCTGGAGTCAGTAGGCCTGCCTAGCTGTGTTGCCTTGGAAAAGTGTCTCCCTCCTCTGGGCCTCATTATTGCTCTTACTATTATTATGATTTATCAAGTGAGAGTTGTTTTTTCTTCCCCCTTTTTCAGGATCTAGGGCTCTGAATATAATTAATGAGCCCCAGATCAGCTGAGAGGTCAGGGCTCAGAGTCAGCCTACCTGGGTTCTCTGTCTCTTGAGCCACCACCTTGGGGAGAGAGGGGTTGGCTAAGTCTGTCTTAGTCTCATCTGCCTGCCTGTCCCCACATCGCTGCTCTGTCTTCCAGGGCCCTCCTGGTTGTACCCCACTTCCAGTCTCTGATTTGGCAGGAAAGTCTCTCCTTGGCTCCAAGATTTGACAAGTCGGGGCATAGGACACGTAGCACCTGCTGTTGCCGAAGCTCTTAGGTCATAGAGACCAATAGGAATAACTAGTCAAATGGTCACTCGGCCGGCATGGGAAGGGTTGAAGCTTGGGCATGTCCCAGTTTGGTGGGCTCTGCCTCCTTTAGAGCTTCCCTGAGCAGAGAGAACATGGACCACAAGACAAGAATCACTTTTGTGTCACACAGATCTAGAGTTGGGTGACCTTGCACAAGTTCCTTCACCTCTTTGGGGGTGGGGCTCAGTTTTCTCATCTGTGAAATGGAAATCATCGTATCTAGCACTGGCATGAGGATCCATGATGAAGTGAATGTGCCAAGTGCCCACCATGCTGTAGGATTTGGACAAATGGCAGCTCTCATCACCATTGTTATTATCATAACAGGTGACCCCTAGAGCCCTGTCCCTGAAATTGCCTTCTATACCCATTTCTGTCTTTAAGCCCAGTTGGCTTTACTTAGCCGTGTCTTCAACAACAGCCCTTATTTAACCCAAGTTGGAACAACAGTGCCAGACAAGGCCCGGAGACCCGTGTTTTGTTCTCCCACTGGCATCCCGACCTTGGGCAGCCCCAACTGGCTCTCTTTGGATCTCGTTGTAGCCTCTGCTCTGTGGCACTGGGAACGCCTCCCTCCGCATCCCTGCACTTTGGTTGAAATACTCACCGAGAGGTCTGGAGGGCCAGTTCACAGACGCTCAGGGGTTTTAAAATAGCAGCATTCTTTTTCTCAATGTGTCTTCCAGGCCCCGGGATGCATCCAGGGGAGGAAAGGATGGCCAGCGTTCACACTTCCGGCTCCCAAAATCCAGCTTCACAAAAGCTAAGCCTGTTTGCTTGCCCCACCCTCAGAGCTCCTGCAGTGGGAGAAGCCAAGCTAGAGTCAGGAGGCTTCTGCCATCCAGGAGCAAGCCGGTTGAAAGCCACGGTCCACATGAGGTCATAGATGTCTTGACAACCGGGGATCCCCACCCCTGAGTTGATGATGTTGGGGCTAATTCAGGAGTTATAACATAGGCCACATAAAAATAGTTTTATCGGTAGAATAAATACATTTTTCTCTTTTAATATGGACACATATTTTACAAAAGAGCCCCATAGCACTATGGGAAATTAAGACCTTCTACAAAAAAGAAGATGTAACTTGGGTAAAATAAAGCTCTAGTGTTCTAATGGGTCCCGACTGGACTGCCCCAGAGGGGTTGGACATGCCCCAGAGCGGTGGGGTGTGGCCGAGGACCCTTGTTTCTCTGGCTTCTGCACGGGGTGGCGGAAGTCAGGAGGGCCCCAGATTGTGCAGCAGGAAGGGGGCCACAACGGTGGCGGTGAGGATGGGGAGGAGACCCAGGGTGGGCGCTGAGCTGCTGGCGGGCCCTGCTGGGTCCTGCTGTTGGGGCTGGTCCGAGAGCTGGAAGGGGGTCTTGGCAGTCCCAGAGCTGGGGGTGGGCTGGAGGGGCAGCAGGGGTGACGAGGCGGTGGTGCTGGAAGGGAGGAAACACACAGTAGAGTGACCATCAGAGCCTCGCCCTGGGGCTTGGACTGGATTCTATCAGATGCGTTTTCTGATTAAAAGGGGAAGGAAACAGGGGCGTGGATAGGGAAGATGAGAGCCCAGGTAAACTCTGGAGGTCACACTCTCCTGTGCCGGGTGTCAGGCCAGATCACCTATCACCGTTCACAGGACTAGGTCCCAGGCAGAAAGAGGTACAGTGCTAAGAAGGAGACAGTTCTGGGGGTGCCTGGAGTACTGAGCCCTCACACCAGGCCATAGGTGCCCCTGCCTCCTTCTGCTTCCCCTCCCAGCTGCTGAGAGACAGAAAATGAAGCACGCTACCGTTTTTATTGTGCTCATCACTACACCACCATCTGTCAAATACCCCTTAGCCAGGCACTTTAAAAGTCATGTTTCTGGTTCTCAAAGCAAACCTTCAAAATGGGTCTCCTTTTCATAACTTTAGGAAACTGGGGCTCAGAGAAACTACCTGATGGCCAAGCCACAGGGGAAAGTGGGGTGGCATGACCATGGGGCACTAGGCCCAGCTCACTTTGCACAGCACAGAGTGACAGGTGCCATCCTCCATGAACTTATGAAAACAGAGACCATTTTCAGAGGTAACCAGTGAGATTCTCGCCTCAAGAATGTGACAGAGGAGGAGGGAAACAGGGAGGGAGACAGGGAAACAAGGGGAGACAGGCAGGAGGACTCTGCAGGCTGAGCCCAGCCCATGGGGCCTTGGGAAGCTGGAGGGGGAAGGCAGGGCCCACTGGAGCTCAGGACCAGGAAAGAGACAGATGGGAAATGGATGAAAACAGAGGGAAAGGTAGGGATGGGGAGGAGAGGAGGCAATGACAGAGGGTGACAAAGAGAGACCACAGGGGAGAAGTCTCATAGATCAGTGGAGAAGAGGAGCAGGCACTGCGATGAAGGAACGGGCCCCAAACAATGATCAAGCCTGCTTACAGGGAGCTGGATGAAGATGAGAACAAAGGAACCCACGAACCCCATCACACCCAGAGGGGAAGGCAGGGCCTGTGTGCAGCAGGAACACAGAGAGGCTCTGTTTCAACACAGGACCAGGAAGGTCTTGAGGGAGTGGGAACACTGCAGCCAGGAAGGTTTGCCCATAGGGAGGGCACACCTAGTAGTTGAGGCAAGAACCCACAGGGCCCTGCTCCTGTGTGAAGCACTGGCCTTATCTTAACCTTTGGTACTCAGGATGGCACTAGGAGGTAGGGGGCACCGTTACCCTGTGTACTTAGGCAGTTATTAGAAGGTGGGCAGCTAGGAGGCTTACCCCTCCCTGGGCAGCCTATGGGGCAGGCTGGTAGATGTGAGGCAGGGCAGTTTGCACAGGTTCTGCCTGGGTAGCCTCTTCCATGTGGGTCACTGCCTTCTTCCTGATGTCTGCCTCCATCCCTGACAGGCTGCTTACTCCCCAGGTCATCTAGGGGTACCCCTGGCCTACGTTCTTTGGGCTGGTTCATTAAGTCCTGACAGCTGGCCATAATCACCATGGCAAGCCCTGGAATAATCCCCAGCAGAGCCTAGTCCCGGTCCCAGCCTGACTGTTAGCCTCCCACACAGCTCAGACCCAGCCTCCACCTGGGTGGGTCTGCAGGGAACCTAGGGGTCAGCAAGCACTCCCCTGTCTCCATATAGGTTCAGGATGACACCTCAGCTTGAGAGTGGGAATCCAAATGGCTTTTGGGTACCAGTCCAGGCCTTCTGGATCTCAGGACAGGAAAGGGTCCTTACCCTCCCTGGCTCTCCCTCCCCATGCTGCCCTCATGCTCAATCTTGCTCAAGGTCTCTTTCCAACCTGGAGCCTACAGATGTGATGTACCAGAACCTTGGTCTTTGGAAAGTCCCAGAGGAGCTATCGTGAGAGGAGAGAGCAAAACCTTGTCCCACCCAGAGGACAGAGGCACAGCGTTCCTGCAAAGTGTGCCTGTGGAATTGGGTGGGCCAATGGCTTCTAATGCTCCTTTTAACTCACGGAATCCAGTGTGCCTCGCCTCCTGTGGGTGCTGGCTTCACGCCACCAGAGACCCATCACGATCTGTTCCCATGGGGGTGACTTCACCTTTCACAGTTTCCCTACACAGTGCCTCTTCAGTCACACTCTCTGCCTTACTGTCATTGTTCCATTCACCTTCAAAGGCCTGCCTCTTCCCTGGAGGACTTCTTTGATCTGTCCTGTATCCCTCAATGCCATCTGGCAGAGTTAAGGCTCCACAAAACCTTGCGCATCTCCCATTGACCTCAGTGAGTGGTAGAGACATATTATCTGAGGTTTGAATGGGTTTTGATGTGTCTTAGGATAATGCCTGGTAGCCAGGCAGCGGCAGATGGTGGGGGCTAGTTTAAGGGCAGTGTTATATTTGTGCCTGTGTCTCCACCACCAATGACATCTCTTATTGATGAGCCACGCTATGTGCTGGCAGACGGTGTGCTTGAAGCGACCACCTGCATCATGTTCTTTTAAATTCCCACTTCCAGGATGAGGAAACTGAGCTTGAAGGAGATGAGGCTTCCTGCAAGAGATAGGATGTGCAGGGGCCGTCTGTCCCCTCCAGCCCAAGCTGCCAAGGCACTGTCCCTGCCTGAGGTGTGAGCAAGCACACGATGCACAGCCTGGGGAAATGCTGTCTTCTTGCTGAGACCTCGCCCAGGCCTGGGTGGAGGCTGCCAGGGTCGACCGAGGCCCTGTAAGGCCTCAGCTCCTGGAGGGACCAGTGTCTGTGCCTGGCAGGGCCATTAACTCAGCCCCTTGCCTCCCTTTCTTTTCCAATGAAAAGAAAAACTAAAACCAAAAAACACAGCACAGAGTCCATAAAAATTCCTTCCTAGCTGCTGCCCTGTCGTTCCAGCCTGAACAGCGGGGAGGCTCAGCGAGCTGGCTCTGGGCAGCGGGCTGGTGTGCCCTGTGAGGCAGTTGGAGCTGGGACCCAGGCTGGCCCCAGACGGAAGGCAAAACCAAGTAGGAGTTATGAGAACTAGTCTCACAAGGCGCCTGAAGGCATTTTCTTTCACACTTTGAAAACTCCCCCTTGGAGCCTGAGTGGGGTTTTTATTGCTTGGAAGGAGTCCCAGGGAAATGAGGTGGGACTGGGGAGGGGGATGAGCCCCTCCAAATGCCCCTACCTCACCTCCCCAGCCCACTGTGTTCACAAAACTCAGTCCGTCCCCCCACCCCACCTCGTCCAGATCCCTGCCCGCCACCCCCCAGGCTCATGCTGGGGAAAAGTCTCTCATGGCAAAGTGGCCTTGGGGCCAAAGCAAACACTCTGAGCATTCCCAGGCTCCACAGATGCCTGGCACCAAGGGCAGTCTGCTCTGGGTAGACAGGGCCCCTGGATGGGAAAGTGTCCCTCGGCCAGGGTGGAAGGTAGAAGCCCTGCGCTGGCCTGGGCTGTGTTCTTGTCTTGCTGTGTGACTTGGGCAGGCGCTGTCCTCAGGCTCAGCCTTCCTGTCTATACAATGAAGGAGCAGAAACCCAGGATCTTTAAAATTTTCCAATGATAAAAACCAGAAGGATGACCTTAGGCAGAAGCTCAGGGTGGGAGCACAGAAAAGCAGAGCCAGTGTCGGCTGTTGACCTGAGTCCCCTCCAAAGGGGTTCCTGGAGCAGAACCAAACTTCAGCACTAAAGGTCTCTGAGAGCCACCGGGGGTTAGGTGCTGGGCAACTCTTGCCTTGGATTCCTTGCTAATACAAGGGCCTGGTGCCTATGCCTGGGGAGCTCTTTACAAAGCTTCATGGAGATGTAAGGAAAACCAGCTTTGGGGCATACAGGGCCTGGGTGATGGGAGCCCTGCCACCTGAGGAGGAGACCCCATTGTGATTCTGGTTTGGGCTTCTGCCTCTCTGGCCAAGCAGGAAGACCTAGGCAGAGACCCAATGTGTCCAGTGTGCCTGCAGCTCCACTTCCTGTTATCTGGGTCCTGCCAGCCTCACACCTTTTCTGCATAGTCTCTAATGCTGGGAACACCTTCATTCCTCCCTTAGCCTGTGGACTGGCATGTTTTCAAACAGCTTCATAGCAGACCATAGCTGGAAGGGCCTGTCCATCCCTGAGATGAAAAACTGGGGCTCAGAGAAAAGAGGTTTACTTAGGAGCTGGGGCTCAAGGTCTCTTTCAGTGATACCATACTGAGGAGCCATCTGTCCCTGACCTCCAGAAGCACTAACCACAAGACTCGGCAACCAGTATGTGCCGAAAATGTCCCTGAGAGCCTGGGGGGGGGGGGGTTCACAGCACTCTCTCGATGGCTCATTTAATTAAAGCTTTTAGTCTAAGACATGCTACAGCATTTCAGGCAGCAACTGGGGAGAGCCGGGGATCCTGGACCAGAGACTCGTAAGTCAAAGGATCAACATTAGAGGCAGCTGGCCCAGTGGCACTGATGGTTATTGCTGGTCTGAGGTCAGCTCAGTGCCTACGGGCATCATCTCACTTGATGTCTAAACCCCAGAGCAAATGCAGGGTGGGGATGAATTTGTACTTTTATTCATTTGGTGATTCTGTTTCTCACGTCTCATGGGGCATCTTCCGCCTCTAAATTACATAGGATCTTAGGCTCACATGGAGACTCGGACCATCCCAGAAAAAGACCTGCTTGTGTTAGGAAAAACCAGAGCCTGAGAACTTGGGCAGGAGGGGCAGGCCAACAGGAGGTGTGCAGAGCCCCCCAGGATAGGAACACTGTGCTTCCTTCTCTTTGAGGGCTTTGTCCATCTGCTCAAACTTCAGGGGAAACTGATGCCCAGAGGGCAATGGGCCTGGCTCCTATGTGTCCTGCACCCTCTGCACTTGCTTGATGGCACTCGCCAAGGCTCTGCATCCATCACTTACTGATGCTCCCTTTGGGCAGTCTTGCCGTGGTCCTGCCCAGCGCTCAGAAGGTGTCCTCTTCTCTACAGAGTGGGTCAGCCACTCTGTTCCCTTATTGATGCAATCCTCCACCCTGATATATGCTCCTATGTGTGCATAGGTATCTGTGTGCTTGGAGATGCGCAGACTTGGAGAACAGAGCTGGCATGGCCTCCAAAGACCAGCCAAGGCCCTAACTGCATAGAAGAAGACGTGGGAGGGTTTCCACAGGGCTCACATGACTTGGGAATGGCCTCTACCTTGGCTTGCCCTGGTCACACCCCACCCTGCTGCCCACCTCTGGCTCTCAGAGGCCGAGGATCCCAGAGAAAGCTCTGTTGCCATGCAGCCATCTGCGGACACACTCTTGGCCCTTTCCATGAATACCCATAAATCATCCTGCCACGGGGCTGCTGCTTCTCTAAACTTCCTCTACTGTGTTTACATCTTGGGTAATGAGGGGCGAGGGGAAGCTAGCTTGCTCCAGGTGGCGATCCGGCCAGGCACTTACAGCCCACACCCCTGGCTCCTCGTGCTCATGAGTACATTCAGCAAACACCCAGCAAGGCCTCAGGTGACCCAGAGCCGTCCAAACCAGATCTGGTCCCCAGGGCCCCCTGGCCTAGAAATACAAGTAAGGAACCTGTGGCAATGGTACCAGGACAAGAGCTGCCACAAGGGTGCTGGGGGAGGAAGGGCGAGCTCAGCCAGGCAAGGATGGGAAGGACACTCCATGGCAGTGGGTGATGAATGTGACCCTTAGTGTTGGACAGACCCGGATTCGGGTTCTGCCTCTCTGTGACTTTCTGTATGGTCTTCAGGAAGTTCCCTGATCGGCTACATCTGTTTCTTGCTTGTGAAACTGGCTTGCCTTCTGTGACTCTTGGCAGAAGCAGGCCATGATGGATATCAGCACCTGGCAGAGTGGGAGCTCGACAAAGGCCACTTGCACCTCACCCGGAGGAGAGAGAGGAGCAAGTACAACAGGGTGCAGGGCTGGGCCTGGCGCACTGGGGCCTGTGCATGGCCCACGGGGGTTGGACCTGACAGTACCTGGGGGAAGAGAGGCAGCTGGGGAGGCAGGAAAGGCGAGGCTCCTATAACTGGGCAAGTTTTCCTGGCAGTGGGAACCCTGCAGGAGCTCCAATGGAGCAAGAACAATGCAGGAGGGCGCGGCCTGGTGCCAGGGGACCCATTAGGACCCTGCGGCAGGATCCTAGGAGGAAGATGAGCAGGGAGAGTTGACAGAGAACATTTGGGGGAAAGAAAATGAGAAAACTGAATAAATTAAAGCTCCAAAGAAAATGATTTGTTCAAAGGGCTACAAGTGTGTTTCAGATCATCTCTCAGAGAGCTCTTCTCTGCTTCTTCTTGGAAATTTGGGGATCCCTGGAAGGTATGGAGCCTGTGCCCTGCACTGGGCCTCTTGGGGAGCTCAGGCCCCGCTTACCCCAAGAAGCAGTGAGAAATTTAACAAACAGGCTGCCCTTTGGTGGAAACTTCCTTCTCCAACCTGACCAGATGGAGGAAAGTTGGCCAACCACAATTTACCTGTTGGGATAGAGAAGGGGCTCCCTCTTGCCAAAGAAAAGCTATTTTTCTTGTGAAACCAGGCTCTGTGTTTCAGATCGACATGTTGTGAAAAGGAAACCGTTTGGAGTCATTTGCCCACATTTACCTTTCAGACGTGGTTAGGGGCTGGGGGCCCATGGCTGGAGCTGACAGCCCAGCCCTCTGTCACCTCATGGGTTGGACCCACCTCTGGCGGGACTCCTGGTCACCCTGGATGGTGGACATGAATGCCCAGCCTAATTGGAACTCTTAATGGCTGCCAGCTCTTTCTCTTGCCCCTGCCTTGTTGGCAGCATACAAAACCCTGCCCACCACCGAAGAAAGGCACTCCCTGCAGCTCTCTGCCCTGGCTCCTGATTAGACAGGGGTGGCTCATATGTTGCAATAAATATAGTTACAGCGATGCCTCTACCTCAGATAGGTAGGGCCAGGGAGAGCTCGGTAGGAGTACATTTCCAGTGCACCAAGCCAGGTGCTTTGAAACCCACGCCCAAAGGCTACAAAGCTCAACTCATTTTTGTTCCAGGATTTTTTTTTTTTTTTAAGATAGTGCACACCCTCCGCTTTATGGCAGGGGGCTGATACGTCAACTTTTTTGTCAAAGGCTCAGTGATCAGGCTATGGAAGAACCATGTAGTGGCAAGTGTAGGGAGCAGCCCCTGCTTCCCTGGGTGGCCCTAGACAGAGCCTCCCCCTTGGTTTATCCTCCATAAGTGCAGAGCTGAGCAAGTGTTTCCCAAAGACACTGGGAAGAATCTCCAGGTGCACATTCACACGGGCTTCCCAGGCCTCTGCCCCGAAGATCCTGATTCATTATGTCTGTGGTGGGGCCTGGGGATTTGTTTATTTAACAAGTACCCAAGGTGATTCTGTCCAGGTTGCTGAGGAAAATTCTGGATGATATCTTTAGGGTACAGATTGGACTCTGGATTCCAAGGTCCCACTGCTGGGGGCACAGGATTTGGGGTGTACTGACAGTCCCTCCCTGGGACTTCCCTGGTATTCTAGGGAAACTCTTCTCTGTATATGGAGATTTCTGCTAAACGGGAATATAGGAAGACTGCTCTATAGAGACTGCAGGCAGAGGACAGCAGAGAGAGTCTTGTGACAGCAGGAGTTCAGGTGATAGACAGAGGGGATGGTTCTGGTGGCAGGAGGAACACACAGAAAGAGGACAGGGGGATCTCAGTATTTTAGGACGATCTGTACCTGACCATTTACACAAGGTTTACTAGGACTGCTTCTGAGATGGAGTCCCCAGCATTAGACAGCCATTGTCTGTCTCATCTCTCTCAAAGTGGAGTCCCCTCAGCAGCCTCCATGCCCGATGTCACCACTTAGACTTTCCAGGCACAAGGAGCTTTTGGCCTAGCAAGCATGTCCTGTTTGTTACTAGGTGCTCCTCCTGACCATTGGACAACTAGAAACTGCTTGGCACACCTCAGGTGGCCCAAGGAGGCTAAGTGTAAAGCAGACTCCATTGCACCGGAGCTTCACTTATAAAAGAGCAGAGAATTGTTCTTGTTCTTGTCTTGAGACTAAAACTACAAAGTCAGATGTGGATGTGCTCTAAAAACCCTGAAGGAATCCTTTGTGTAGAGGGAAGAGACAGCCTCACTTGCTCAGAGCAAAGCTCGCCTGGTGACCGTGCACCCCACCTTGGGGGCATGGGAGGGAGTGTCCATATCCAACTCCTGGGCCACCCACCCCTGTCCTCCTCACCTGTCCTCGATGCGGACCCAGAGGTCATTGAATTGCCGCGGTCGCTGGTGTTTATTCTGCCTCTTGTGCCACTTTTTTTGCCGTCCAAACTCCTCCAGCTGGTTGAGGCTGTCAGGGAGCAGGAGGTGCGGGGACAGGGCTGGGTCATCCTCCTCAGGCGGGGTGGTGGGGGTCACTGAGGGTGCTGCAGGGACAGCGGCAGCTGGGGTAGCTGGGGCAGGGCTGGCTGAGGTCCCCTCAGGAGGGGGCACTGGGCTCCCAGCAGCAGGGCTGGAAAGGGGAACATCACAGGAGTGTGTCATGCATATGTGATAGGGAAAGCAATTCTGTGGGAAAGTCACTGGGGAGGATAAAAAATGCAAAGACACCCTGCCCGGCCCTGTGAGAAAAAGCCCAGGAACACCGTCATCTGGTGTGAGAGATGGGACACCGATTCCGCCTTTCACCTATGTAGTCAATAAATATATATTAAGGTCCTACTTGGTACCAGGCACTCTTCTAGGAATTAAATATCAGCACAGACCAAAACAGATACTGTCCCTGCCCTCTTAGAACTTCTATTTTGGAGCAGAAGACAGAGTCGAACATATAGGACATCAGATGGCCACAACTGCTGAGAAGAAAATAGAGACAGATAAGAACCCAAGGGAGAGAGGGTGCTGGTCAGGGATCAAAGGGTGACATGTGAGCCTAGACTAGGAGGCAGTGAGGGAGCAGGTCTGGACGGTCTATGGGCATGTCTGATCTTGGTCAAGGTCAGGGTCTCACACATCCACAGATCTGGTTGAGGGACGGTAGGCAAGTTATCTATCTTCAGTGTGCTTCCTTAAAAACGGGGCTATGACAGCCTGTGCCTCACAGGGCAGGAGGATGATGTAGGTGAAGATGGGCACAGCACTTAGAATAGGGCCTGTCTCCTAATGCACCTGTCTCTGATGTTGTCCATCAGCAAAAGGACCTTCCTGTTGGGCAGGCACTGAAGTGTCATGTAGGCATGTCTGTGGAATTCATGGCCATACAGGGAGGGGTACACACATAGGCCCCAGGCTGGGAACATCCTCCGCTCTCCCCACTTTTATTCTCTCTACTCAGTAGCCTCAGCGGAATTCCTTTTGGGGACATCCAACCCTGGGAGAAGGTTGGGAGTGGTTTCTGAGCAGGCAGCTTGCAAAGGTAGGTGGTACCCAAGGCCGCTTACAGTCCTGCAGCCTGTCCCCCCACTTCATTCTCGCAGCACAGTGGGTGAGGGGCATCTCTTGCTTTGATGGAAAAAAGGCCATCAGCTCAGCCTGTCCTCTCCCAGCCCCCATGGCAACCCCAGATTCCCAGGGTCCAGGCTGCTAGGAGATGTCGCAGCTGTTGGGGAGATAATTCAAAACAGTCAGACAAAAAGATAGATCCAGGAAGCACCTGTGGCTGAGGATGGTTTTTATTGTTGGAGCCTACTCAGCGTCCCCACCCCCACTTGCTCCCTGTGCAGGAGACGAGGCTGAGAACCTGCAGAGCAGAGCCCGTGGGGGTGCAGTGGCGGACTCCTCCATTAAGGCCTGGTTTCCAAGATGAATAGGAGGCTCCCCAGCCTCAGAGCCTGCCAGCCTTCTCTGCCCTGGACAGGCCACACACAATGAGCTTTTAGGAAAGACCTTCAGGGATGTGCCGGGAGGGGGAGGCAAGGGGAGAGGAGGGAACTTGAGGAATGTCTTGACCCTGAAACTACCTTGGATTCTCCACCTCTTAAGCAAGACTGCTGGCCTCCCTCCCCCATGCAAACTGCTTTGTGCTGGGTTCAAATGGTTCCTGCGGGAAGAGCGGTCTTTCAGGTTAATGCAGAAGATGCACTGGGGAGGAGGCTCAGTGCCAGTGTTTAAAAGTTCCTCTAGGAGTGCCATGGAGCCAGGGAAGTATGGCCTGCAGCTAGGAGATCAGCAGCTCATGTCTCTGAAGATCAAGGTCTCAGTCCTTCCAGAACCCCCACTCCAACCTCCAGAGTTGGTATAAAGAGAAGTTAGGAGCTCAGGAGGCCCAGAGCCAGGCTGTCACTTACATGAGCTGAGTTTCCTACTGTAAATACCTTCACCTCTCTGGGTTCTTTCACTTATCAAGATGGGGACACACAGTTCCTCCACTGCGAGGTTGTTGTGAAGATAACAAGTTAGGAGTTAGAAGGAGCCCTTAGAGTTTGGTACAGAGTAAGCAGACATTAGTGACCTGCTGTGACTATTCAAGCTTTTTTTCGGTCCCTGGGCCCTATAACCTTAAGGACAGGGGTTGAAGTCATGCTATGGTCCCCCCTTGCAGGTTGGTGAAGAAGGTTTTTGTGTAATGAATAGAGAGTGGGCTTCACTGAACCCTGAGTTTGAGCATCCTGACATTGACCTCTGGGACTGCATGTGATCTAAATCCTGGCTCTTTCCTGGTGCTGGTGCTATGGACCCATAGACAGACTGAGCTGGTCCTTGTCCTTGGGCAGCTCCTGAACTTGGTGTTGGGGATAGGGCAGGAAACAGGGGATAGGAAGAGAAGATGGGGAACAGAGTGGGTGTGCCTGGCACAAAAGTCAGGGGCGAAGGGTGGGTGTGTCCTGGCAGGAAAGCCAGAGGCAGCCATGGAGAGGGTGCAGGCAGGAAGGTGTGGACCAGGTGAGGGCATGACAGCAGAGCTGCCAAGGAATGGGGCTAAATGCAGGGAAGAGGCCAGGCTGTGGCTTGTCCTCCCACAGCGTCATGGAGATTTAGGGCTGGGGCATCCACTAAATCCTCCAATCCCCATCCAATTCACCAGTGTTTCAATTCCAAGCCTCTGACAAATCCTAGTGCTACCCACTAAAATTCCCTAGTGGGATTTGCAAAATCCCACTGCCTCATCTGGTCCCACTGTGACCTGCCATCAAGATTGGATACCAGCCCCCTTTCTGCTTTCCTACCTGCAGTCCTGCCTCCAGTTGTAGGTGCCTGGTCCAGTTGGTCCCCAGGAGGCCCCATTACAATATTATTTTTTTTTTTCCAAAACTCTACCCTCAAGCCTGAGCAGGAAGGCAGGGGTAGCCAGCCATGAAGCACGTGTTCAGGCATGGCCTGTGACAGGCAGCTGCAGGCCAGCCAGTCCCAAGATGCTCTAGGCCCCTGTTGCTTACCTGTGGATGGCCTGCCCCGCAGGAGTATGGTCCACCTCCAGCCCTGCCTGCCGCAGGACATCAATGACAGTGTTGTTCCCTAGAAAGTGACCTAAAACGTAAGACACAAAGCAGGCTCAGTCACATGTCAGGTTGCCTGTCAGTGGAGACAGGCTTGGGACATCCCCAGCATTTGTGTTTGGACCAGTGAGCTGCACCAGTCAAGGCCCTAGACTCCAAAAGGCAATATGGCTCCCTGGGTAAGATGTGGTCCTGCTGCCACCCTATCTGGGTTCCTATTCTGGCTCTGCTGCTCACAGCTATGATTAAATCCCTAGTTTCCTCATCTGTAAAGTGGGAATGATTGGAATGTTGGTCGTTGGTCGTTATAGAGAGCAATGGCAGGCACATAGTAAGGGCTCCAAGAGCTTCCAGTTGCATTATTGTGCTTCCTGCCATTAAGTCGACCCCAGCCACTGACTGTCCAGGCTGGGGAACCCTTCAGCAGTCACGTAAACCCAGCTCCAAGAAACTCTCCAGCCCCAGCAGGCCTACAGCTCATTTTTGTAAGTTCTAACTTGTGCCTCCTCCTACAGCATGGGGGTAGGAAACTTTGTATCCTTGTGGGTCTCCTGGACACGTCCCTAAGGACAGAGACTACGTCACCATTGCCTAGTGCCAACTCAACACACACTGGTAGGGTTTGAACATCATAGATTCATTTGTTCATCATCTACCCAACATTTCTGGAGCACACACAGTGGCTAATATCCTGGGATGGCCATTGAGGTCTCAGAACCCTGTGGGGAAGCCCAGTGAAGCCCTGCTGATTGCAGGGTCCAGCAGACACAGACAGTGGCCTAGAGGAGGTACGAACACAGAATGATCCCTCCAGAGGTGGTGTCAGAAGTGTGTGTGGTGGGGAGGGGAGCTGTCTTCTTAAACACCCCCTCCACTATTCATTTGTTCAGCAAACATTTATGATGCCCTTACCCTGTGACCTGCTCTGTACCAGGCACTGTGAATATACAAATGGAGAACTTAGTGTAAATCTGCAGAAGAGAGAGGGGAAATGTTTTTTTTTTTTTTTTTTTTTTTTTTTTTTTATGCAGGCATGAAGTCTGAGAACTCAGGGGAAGCCTTTCCCAGGTTCAGGTTAGGGACAATCCTCAAAAGGCCAAGTGACTGTGAAAGCAGGGGCTGCTGGGAGTCAGCATCCTGCAATGCCCCTCTGTTTCCTGGTCCTCAGATTCCCTCCTACTCAATGTGAGCGTTGGCTGGGTGCTTGCCCAGGGCCCTGGCCCCTCCCACTGTGAGTCAGTCTTGTGAGGCCACTCCCCTGAGCAGCACTCCCCGCTCCTGCTCACCTTTCATCCCAGACCTGGGGGGATATCTCTGCCCTCTGACTCTGATTGCCTGTGATGGGTGGTGACAGGTGGGAAGCAGGAAGGTCAGCATGCTGACAGCCCCAGGGAGGTGGAGGAGGACAGAGGATGGACAAGCCAGCAGGAATGGACAGGCTTTCGGCGCAGATGAAGCCTGGCTGGGCCTGTGCAACAGCTGGAGCAGAGGGGCCTGTCCTACAGCCCCGTGGCCTGCCAGACTCCTCTCCTCTCCCAGGTTGCCCATCACCCACAGTCCCTGCAGTCCCACCTGGGGATCATGGGAAAGACCACTGGACTAGGAAGGCCAGATGTTATGGACCAGCATCCCCTCCGTCGAAACCCTGGGCACATCCAGTACCCTCCCATCCCTCAGGCGGGGAGAGTTTATACTGCATGGTGTCCAGGGCTCCTCTAGCTCAGTCTGTACAAAGGTTTTTGTTTGACTTGAGACCATTATGGAAAGACATTCCCATTCCTCCCACTCCCTACCAATTTATTCCATTTGCTTAGCCAACACTAAATGCTATCTTGTGCTGGACAGTGGTGTCTAGGCAGGGGCCATTCCAGGTAGTTTTTCTTGAAAATGGGGCTCTTGTGATTGGAGTACTAAGCATGATGCAGATAGACACATGACAGCTGGTGTGGGTACACGGGAAACTTCCAAGCCAGCTTGGGGGTAGGGGGGACTTCTCGGGGGTAGCTTAGGGAGTGGAGTGGTACTTGAGAAAGGGGATGGCATGTGCAGAGGCTAGGATGGGAGTGGGGTGTGTGGGGGAAGCTAACTACAAAAGAGACCTGGAGAGCACAGACATGAACAGGCCCTTTTGGAGCTCTGGCCCTGACTTATGCTGTTGAGAACAGAAGACCTATGCTCTTGCCAAGCTCTGAGTCTCCTCCTCAGTCCATGGTCCTGGACAAGTGGCTTCTCTGCCACCAGCCTCCATTTTCCCATATATCAGATGAATCCATAGCACTTTGGCTCCCTGGGGAAAGTGATAAAGCTCTAATGAGGTAGGAGTGGACATCTTTTGGAAAGGCCAGAGCTCTCATGAATGATGGATGAGCTGACAGTTCTGGCTAGTCCAGAAGCATCCATCTTCTGGCTTGCTCTGTTGCATGGGTGGGCTAGAAGGGCACAGACAGTGGTGGCCTGCAGTGTCCTGGCTGCACACCTCTGCCAGAAGCTCCTGGACTCTGTTCCTGGCAAAAGAGGGAATCCCTCTGCCTCCATGGAGACCTGAGTTTAAAGATAAGGGCCTCATGGTCCAACACTGGTCTCTGTGTCTACCCAGAGGATTTCAAGAGTAGCCAGGGAGGGCAGCATGCGTCAGGCTGCAGTGGAGCAGCAGCAGCAAGTATCTGCTGACTGCTGGAGGCTTGGGGATGGGCGGAGGAGGCATTCAGAGGGGCCTAGGCCCCGGCATGGCCCCAACACAGCCCTGACCACAAGGGCCTCTCAGGACACCACTGGATCCTGAGCACTGTGTGGCAGTGTTTCCCGGATCTGGTTGGTGCTTCCCTGTGTTCCCTCAACTCAAGGGTGTCAGACCACTGCTGCTCTGAACAGAAGACTTGCGATATCTGGAGAACATGGCAGCAATCAGGGGAGATCCTGATCTTTTGAAATTCTCATCCTCTCCTGCTGCAAGCCACATCTGCCCCTCCCTTGCTCTGGGGCTGAAGAATGGTGTCCTCCCTCTGCTCCTTGTATAAGGTGCGCCACGCCCTGTGGTCTGCATGGTCACGCACACCCAGCCTGTGCTCCCACCATCCCTCCCTCTCTGGGGCTTGACCTCACAGACCCTACAGCTGGATTGATGAAAGCTGCACTCTCCAGGTTCCTGGACCTTCTCCTGCCCTGTGCATTCCTCACTACCCCGCATGGCTCTGGCTGTGTTCCTCACTCCAGGGACAAGTCATCCACCCTGCCAGGTTCAATTACCACACAATGCTGATGACTCTGGAATTGTCCCCTTGGCCCAGACTCATCTGTCCAGCCACCTGTGGACAGCTCACCTAATGCTCCTCAGCACCTACCAACCAAGCTTGCCCTGCTTTCCAGAAAAGTCCTCCCCAGCCAAGCTGAACCACCCTGTGTGGATTCCTTTCCCTCCTCATCCTCCTTCAGTCACCAATGACCTCTGATGTTTCCTCTCAAACACATGGGACTGCCCCTGCCACTACCACCTGCTGCCTGAGCCTCTGCAGAAACCATCCTGTTCTCCTTAGTCCCCTCTCCCTACCGCTGCTACACTGACCTTCCCATACCCCAGAGCTGACTGTCAGAACAACGGCTCCCAAAGAGCCACCTGAAGGGGGGACTCCAAACTCTTCTAGAGTGAGGCCATTTCTGACCCATCTTTGTTCCCAGAGCCAAGCCCAAGTCTGATGCACGGCAGTGACTCCGTGAACATTTGTGAGTGAATGAGTGACAAAACCTGTTACTCCACATCCTTTCTGTGATCTCATCCTACCCCACGAGACCCGAGTCCCCTCCATTCATCCCCTGCCTTGTCTCTTGGTGATACTTCTCCACATTCCACCAACCTCGGGAGCTTCGCCCTCTGCACCAACCCTTGAGCCAGGGTTCAGCATGTGTTGTCCCCAGGGGCTGGCAGACAGGGCTGAAGCTTGTCTCTTGGGTCAGAAATCCTGAAAAATGTACCACACCCATTCTGGAACCTGCAGGGAAGGTTGTGGAAAGTTTCCAAAAGAGCCTCATGGAGTTTGGATTCGGCCTGCCTGGCCTGCGCTCCCTGGGTCTCCTGGCTGCTGCTCAGCAGCTTAGCCCTTCAGCACTGGCTTCCAGCTGTCCTCTGGCCAGCTCTCTGCAGGAAGCCTCCTCCATATCATCTGCAGAGGCATGGGTGAGCAGAGAAGGAGGGAGGGAGGGTCGGGGTGGGTGGGGCACACAGACCTGCGGCGACAAAGAGAAGGAGGTAGAGAGAAGAGAGAGTCTCAGAGAGGGGCATGCAAGAGGAGGAGAGCTCCAGGACCTGTGGGAACAGATAGAAGGACAAAGAGGAGAAGTGGAGAGACGGACAGTAAGAGACAGAGACCATGTAGGGAGAGAGAAAGGGAGAGACACCAAGACAAAGAGAGAAAGAGATGGAGACAAGGACTAGATAATGAGATCTGGAATACAGAGAAGCCAGAGAAGGAGAACAAGGGAAAAAGGGAAGAGACCAGAAAGAGAATCCAGAAGCCGAAGGCCTGGAGGGAGACCACAGGTCTTCAAATTGATGGGGGTTGGTGGGCGCTTGCCTTCCCTGAAATAAGCCAGGGCCCCACTTAAAGAATATTTATACACAACAGGACAAGGTACACTGCTCAGAGGGACTAGCCCTGTGATGTTTCAGAGCAGAGAAAAAGGCTCCCTTTCTTCTGCGTGCAAGTGGGGCTGTGCACTCTGTGGAAAGGAGTCCATACAGGGTGGTTCAGCTTGGCTAGTGGGGCACAGGCTGGGGGAGCAGAACACAGGCCAGATCTAGCTGATCAGCAGGACAGTCTCAAATGCTCCACCGATGCAGAAAGACTGGTAGGACAGGGCCTAACAGAAAGCCCAGCTCATCAACTGACCGTGGGACCTTGGGAAGTTTCCTCTCCATTCCTGGGGCCGTTTTCTCACATAGAGTCCCAGGGTCTCCTGAGTCCTCCCACCCCTGTGCTCCCATTACAGGTGACCTGAACACACACTCATACTTCACGAAGCTCCCAGGTACGTGAT